TGACCGGCACATTTGAGAAGTTGGGAGAACTCTGATGTTCGCACTGATACCGGCTTTCTTCACCTCAAATGTTATCGTCATCTACCAATGCTCCTAGCCACTTCTCAGACTTTTGGTCAGACGATGTCTTAGTGTTACAGACACCTTGAAGTCAATGTGTCGGTGGACTTATCGGGTTTAAATTAGACTAACCGGAATTTTGGAGATCCGCCCATTATTTGACGCCTCGAGCAAGGTGGACAGGCGAATTCGAATGTTTCTTATCGAATTGGAGGCGATTCCTGTTCGCATTTGATTCGTTTTCTTCGTACGTCAGTGACGGCTGATGCTGCGATTCAGACCAGTATTCCTACTTCGTGGATGGTGTGTACAAATGGAGACCAAGCGACTTAAAAATTGCGCACTTAGTCGAGGATGGAAGAATCAGTGTTGTGCGGTCATGCGTTGTTTACACGCCGGGTCTGTGAATGGAAGAAGAGGAGGGGTGGTAAAGCGATGACTTAGTCGAGGGGAATGAAGGCACCTACTTCGAAATTGGCCACGGTTGGAGCCCCTCTGGGCTCTCTGGTTGGGGTCCGAAAGACGATGAACACGGTTGATTGTATGCACTCGCTGACATGGCTAGGAGCCGACCTCAGTGGTGTTCGTGTTGCAGTTGAGGTGTTTTCCGCCTCTAGTTAAGGTGTAAATGATGAGGAAGATGAGGATCATGCAGGAGGGTAGGATCAGAATTGAGACAAGTGCTCCAGATTGATTGAAAATATCTTACTGACGCGTACCATCTATAAACGATCAACTTGAGTCCAAATTAGCTTATCATTCAATGTAAGCTAGTGGTACTACTGATATAGAGGATGTGATCAAAGCGCAGCGGAAGAAGGTAGTCAACAATGTCAGTACAATAAGCATCGACACCGGGACGGCTACCCAGTTGGTGTTCTGATTCTGATAGATGACGGGCTTGAGCATTCATGTTAACCGCAACGAATAAGATATTTGCACTTCAAAGCACTTGAAGTAAAAAAAACGGCTGCTGATAGAATTTTTTGACAGCATCCGGATGGCAGCGTGCGTAAAAACAACGAAAATGCACCTTGCACTGACCACGGATTTGCAACTTCGATGGAATATTGAAAGAGAACGGAACACAAGAGGATCTTCACCGAAACCTAGTATAGAACAACTATCCTCTGCACGTCTACTGAGAGCGTGAGAAACATCATAGTTGCTGTGCAGCAATACAATGCAGTAAGATAATCGAAAAAGGAAAACAATAAACAGTAAAATATGCAAGATAGAAACCGATACTAATGTACCTTTTCATGATTACGAGCCACTAGTGATATCGTGGTTGGCAGGGGAGATTAAGCGGCATGGGAAAAGGAACTCAAAATACACAAGCCACTGAGGTCGGTTCTTCGTCATATCGACAAGCGTTTTCAACCAAACGTATTTATCGTCCTTCGGACCCCAACCAGAAAACAGAGAGGCAGCCACCGAGTCCAACTACGAAGCAGGGCCATTATTCCTCACTTGGTCTCTCCTCGTCTTCTTCCACCTAAACCCCGGATGCGCAAAAGCATATCGCGGGAGTCGATATGCTTGCATGTATAACCTGTGCTCTGGCCATCAAAGTGCGTGAAATAAGGGTGCTGAGCGGTTCATGTCCTCTTCCTGCGACATAAACAAGGCGTCGAACAAGCTCACTGCTCACGTGGTGTTCCCATCAGGCACGAGCTAAATTGCGAAGACATCAGTGGCAGAACGCAGTTAACCTCTCTATGTCTCTCGATCCGATGAGCCAGTTTTTGCCGTAGAGGAGGGTCCAATAGACGACTGCATTATAGACTCTGCCCTTCAGGGCGAGAGTAATATCGCGCAGGCACTTTTAGTAGCGAACTTGAGACAAAGCGTCTAAGACTTTTGCTGTACGGTTTGTAACATCTATTCCACGGGCGCTGGTACAGTTACTCAGATGATTGAACTCCCATAAGACTTCTAGCTGATTACCACAAGGCGTCATCGCAGGGGATGGACCCTGTCAATCTTCGATGAAGGCTTTTCATTTGGAGTGTGCAACGCGCAGCCCGGAAAGACTGATAGCCAGTGCCACTTGGCGCATTTGAGTGTCACAGATTACGGTAACATCCACGGCATACTCCAAGTCATCGGGGCCAGAGTTCGGTAAGCGTAGATGCATTAGGACACCGCTGTTTTATATACGTATTTCGGATACACAGTATATATAAACCACCAATGTCGCAGCGAGTATCACATGTTGATGGATCCAACAATGAGCGGACGTCTTGAAATACCCTATAAAGAACAAGGCTCGGGATCAAGTTTAGTTTTCTCACTTCGTATCGGTCGAATGGGAACTGAGATAGTGCGGGACAACCTACACCTACGCAGGCTCTAACCGGTGACTCGTTGATTATCAGCCGAAGACCTGAACAGTTCCACCACCGCGTTGGCAAAAGTGTGGTTGATAAAGTCAAAGGTGGACTTTGTGTAACAAAGAATAATTCATGAAAATGAAAGGAGTGTTACTTTCCAGTTGTTCATTCTGATGGAGGTATTGTGTTCAAGGGATCACAACTCTAAATTTTATCCGGCAGTTTGATCCAAAAAACAATGGGGAAGGGACACAGCCCAGAAGTGACTGCAAAGTCTCGTTGAGATCTGTCACACTGTGCATCTGAAAATTTAGAAACAGTCACATGTGACACTCGACCGTAATAGGATACGAACCTGTGAACACGGCCAGCCGCATGTGTAAGTTGACGGGTTTGTACCTTTTCGACTAGTGGCTGCATGGCTTGAGAAGAGTGATGGAAAACCATTTAGCCCCGAGCGGTGCTTTTTCGCCATTAAAGAAAACCCGTTGTGCTCGTGACCTATGTTAATCAGCTGCTCTTATAAGCCCTGAACATCGCTCTCATGGCTGTTTTAAAGGAAAAGGACCGTCGACTCAGTAACATCATTAGTGCGGTATCAGTGCGCTAACCGTGTCCAGAGACCAGGTAGAACAGAGCTCCTAAATTTTCCACAGCCAGAAAGGTGTTGAAGCGGAATGCGACTAGTTTTTCTACAGTACATCATCATCATTCTCAATAGTAGTTCTAGTTCAATAGTAGTTCTAGTTGTACTTGTATAGTTGTAGTAGTGGTAGTAGCAGCAGCAGCAGCAGCAGTAGACGTAAATGAACGAGGACATCATTTAAGGTCATGACGTCCAAACCCACACATCACACGGTCACAAACAGCTGGATATTTTTGGCAGATAAGGTGATCTCAGCTAGCTGTTTCTCTGTGACTTTTACTGCTTAGTATTGTAATCAACCATGTTTCACAGATGGGCCAACAGCATGTAGGGTTTAAATAAGCAATCCGGTTGCAGCAAACACACCAATAGTACCAATTGCGAGTCATTCCTCTGAGAGCAGGCAGCGCATAATCGATTGATCGCCGACTACACTTCCTGACAATAAGATCACACTTGACCAACTGTAACCGTCAATAAGAGATCAGAAGAGATGCGTAGCACATACCCAGTCCGACGCATCTTATTCAGTCTGATCCATAGGTCTAATAAACTAAAATGAGCAGCGAGATCTGGTACCCACTCGCGCACCACATCGTCACTGATATGATCGTGACAACGGACAAGAAGAATGTTATACAGGCATCGACGATCGGAGAGCTGAAGACAGGCGAAATCTTCAGGTGGAAGTGATCAAAGCTCACGGTTGCGGAAAACGGCTCTTGTTGTGTTACTGTATACGCGGTCAAGGGTAATCCTTCGTTGGTTGAGATGTTACGCATTTGTTGGTGCGGTTTCTCTTTTTGCAGTACTTGGGCTGATTCCAGCGGCTCCGTGCTCATCACTGCGAAGGAAACTGTCCAGACAGATGAAATGATCGACTGCCTCTAGCTTCATGCTAGCAACATGGATTTATATCCTACAGGTTCAAATCACATTGCAAAAGAGTGGGACAACTCAGTAGAAAAGTGAAATGTTGGTTGTGCCGCATGGTGCATCGAGGATGATATCGTCCGCATGATCCGGATGGAACAGCTTATCACGCCGAACAAAATCTCAGGATCCGCACAGCAACACTCCAAAAGAAAAGAATAAGGGGAATTCCACGACACCGGACGAGAACGAGAAATTTTGAGTGACCGGTTTCCGCCAGCTAATGTACGCGATTATCTCAGTAAGCATCCTCTATGGAGGTAAAAAATGATAAGAAAGTAGCAACGATAGTTTTGCTGGGATTAAGCAGTGAGATGAAACTGCCAATGACAAGACCGGCAAGCATACCTCCCAAAAGGCTCAAGAGCCCGCTTTTCACCAGTATGTTTTTGTTCCTGAAGATTATTGATAGCATCTGTCACCGGATTTGCCGGTCAATGTCATTGTGACTGCGGACAGCCACAGGAAGCCTGCGGCTACGAAGGGACAATGGATGGCTTGCGCTACACCGCCCACAGCTCCGTCTACGCACCAATTACTAGTGTAAAGCCGAAGGAATAAGACTGGGGAGAATCTAGATGGGAGCCACGATTGATTCGAAGTCGATGCACGCTTTTTCAACATACACATCATTCAGTAAATAGGGAGAATATGAATAGCAAACGTACACAGAGCAACGATTGGACTGTAGCCTGTTTCAAGTTAGATGCAACCATTCTTTGAGCCTAGCGCCGTCAGAAAGACCGTGCACCCCTTCTTTACTAGCAATGATTAACAGTTTCCTGAAACCAGTAACCGAGGTGACAGTTTCCGACAGGAAGGCAACATATCAACATCCACACTAAATGCACCCGGATAGAATTCTGGAAACGGATGGATTCATCGGAGTGGTTTGCTGTAAATTTAGATTTAGATATCAGTCTTGTAGCATCTCAAAGCGAATCTGCGAGCAATGCTCCATTAGGTCTAGGCTCCGTCGACTCGGAGAACGTTTAATAGACCAAGAAACTGGAGGAATAACTCACCTCATACCACGCGGGAGGTGGTGCAGTCACTTTGCGTTTGTTCGCCGCCTTTGCCGCGCCTGCATCAATAACCGTCTCATTGGAAGGCAGACAATCGGGGCCGTTGTCCTCCTCGTGGGTTTCGGACGCGATGGGTACGCCGGCCTGCTGTTCTGCCTCCGCGCGAGCCAGCGCCTGCTCAGCGTTCAAACCACCGTCATCAGCAAGCGCACAACGCACACGTTCGGAAGGCTTGACGTCGTGTCTTATCTTCGTCGGCTTTGGACCCTGCAGACTGACGGTTCGTTGGGATGCGACAGATGCTTCATTCATTGATCCATCAAGCTGTTTACAGTAGCTCTCATACCATTCCCGGTATGCCGGAGAATTGTAATATGAAGTCAAGGCTTCATGCGCAGCCCTGGTAAGATGTTGCACCTCTTCCGAATTTTCGCCTTTTTCTTCACGGAGCTTGGCTAAACGCGCATTGAAAGTGGACCAGTCCAAGGAGCTAGAAGTTTCGTTGGGAAGATTGTTTGTGGCTGCACCGCTTTGCACAATACCTGTGGTTTGAGACGGCACACCGTAGCTCATCTGATAACGAGCAATGAAATCATCGTCGATCTAAAAGAGTTCATAAAATATGTATCCGATAAGAAATTTTGCAATAATAGCAATATATAATCGGACTGATGAAATGTAGCAGATGACAACCAGTTATAGGTGAAATCTGAGAAACACCTCAAAAATTGCGGCTGTAGATGCGATGCCGTGCACACATCGACAAAGTGCATAGCAGGTTGTTGCTCAGGCGTTAGTTGGTATCACGAAACGGCATACTAACGACAGTCGTGCATTTACACACAGACTAGCACTGGAATAGGATGTGCAAACGTAAACTGACTGACCTTAGGGAACCAGGCCCGACGAGCCTCGTCCCACTCCATTGCTGTACCATCCGGATCGACCCTAACTCGACTTCGCTCTTTCGAGCATTCAGCGTTTTGCAGACGTAACTGTTCTTCGAACTCCCGAAAATCATCCGAAACTGACATCCCAGTTAAGGGAAGGCTGTAATTAGTAAAGAATGCGAGTATCAGCAGAGATATGGGGTGAGTGGGTACAGAATGTGTATTGCAAGTAAGCACGTCTGAGGTTCGCAATGTTATGCAACGGATAACGCATCACCATCATCCTACAAACCGGATAGGGGTGAGAACTGCCTCAGCTATTGTGCCGCAAAACAACGCAGTATATATATATATATATATATATATATATATATATATATATATATATATATATATATACAAACATCCTAACTACTAATGATCAACAATAGAAAATCTGTCTGTATAGCTTTTATCTCCTCTGTCGTAGATAGACGCTATGCGGAAAGTCCTAGCTCGTGAGGTGAGCCACTGTCCTCAGCAAAGTTCGTAACTGACATGACAGTGGAAGATGAGCCGGGCTATATCATAGTCAACTGTCAATCACGCAGGTCGGTGGCTGTCACCCAAGGGGAAGAGCCACTAGCTGTTGGCATCTTGAAGCCATGGGGACGGAACCTGGCACGGATCCGCTTGGAGGCGCACCAATGGCGAGACCCGGAAGGTCGAAACGCCGGCGTCTGGTGCTTTTCCAGACTAGCCTAAGCCTGCTGATTGGGAGTGAGGATGATGAATTAGCTGAAATAACATAATAGTTACTGAATAAAGCATTTGGCTACACAGACTTAATTCTTCGCTAAATGAGTATACACAATCAAATGGTTATCAACAATCCGCGATAAGTTCAAGATATCGGAAAAAGGTATTTTTTAGAAATGCTACAAAGCGAAAAAGTTAACGAATTTAAAAACAATCTGTTTGGGTGACGTGTGCAAATAAAGAGAAACGTATTCAGTCAGACATCTAAATGATTTAACAAAGTAAGCATTATATAAACATAACAGATCAATCACCAGAGTTTCTTTAGAAACCAAGCACGCAAGCACTCCGTTAGTGAATCGAATGCAGTGTAATTACAAAGCCCCACCGGTTCTGCCTACGTTCTCAGCAGGATGCTTCGTCGTTGACGTCAAAATAAAGAGAAAAATAAGCATAAAGATAAGATAGGAAACCCATTACCTGAAATAAAGGGAGCCACGTTTCAACAACGGAGCCGGCCCACACTCCTTCACAGGCAAACACAAGCACGCTGTACTTGGGAATCAATCGCACACAAGGCGGTGGCTGGACTGTTGTCCGCGCCACACTGAGTGCATGAAACCACTCTTCGAGCCTAGCACGGCCACAAGGAGGGTGCATCCGGTTCACTCCAGCCAGTATAGGGGTAGTGGGTAATAACCAATCACTTCAAACGACAAGATAAATTAAACAAATCCAATAATGCATACACCTACGGTGGCATAACTCTCCGCTAAATTAGCATATGAAGTAAGTTGGTTAGCAACAAAACCGCGATGAGCAAAAATGTCCACAAGTTACATAAAAATGCTACAAAGGCAACAAACTTACGGAAGATAAGCGCAATTAACGTAAGCAACGTGGCCAGTTAATAGAAGATTATTCAGGTAGGCAGAACAAACCGAATAAAGTGGAATGAAATATATCCAGCTTAAAAAACCTAGTTTAAGTGTAAGTTGGTTTAGCCCAAATGCGGTGAAGAAGCATCAAGAAGGTAACATCAGCCTCAGCATGGGGCACGCATACATACATGGTTGGCGGCATCCGGTTTCGGATTTGCCTGTCACTGTGGCCAGCCACAGGACGCCTGCGACTACAGAGGGACCATTGATGGCTTGCGCTGCACCACCCACAGCTCCATCCACACACCCCATATCCAGTGTAAACCCGAAGGAATAAAACCGGGAGGCATGTGGATGGGAGCCACGTTTCATCAACGAAGCCGGCCCACACTCCTTCACAGGCAAACACAAGCACACTGTATTGGGGGAATCAAGTACACACAATGCGGTGGCTGGACCGTAGTCCGCTCCACACTGACTGCATGGAACCACTCTTCGAGCCTAGCACGACCACAAGGACCGTGCACCCCGTCCCCTCCAGCAACGACCAACTGTCTCCTGGAGCAAGCATGGACGAGGTAGTGGGTAATAGACAGGTAGGCACCTTGTCAACATGCAAATCAAGCGCAACCACACTTGGGATGTCAAACAATAGTCAATCACTCAAAATGCCGATATCGAATAAAGTAAACGCATATGACGATATGAGTACTCGCTAAGTGAGCATATAGAGGAATTTGGTTATAAGTGAATCCGTGATAAGTACAAAATGTCCGAGTTATTTAAAAAATACCACGCGATACCATCACGCAAGTTTACCACAATTTGCATGACCAACGTGTGCAGGTTGGGAGAAGATTATCAAGTGCGCAGAACAAACCAAATAAAGTGTAGCGAATTTTATCCACATTATATATATATATATATATATATGGCGGGAGAGCCTATGGTGCGCTGAGGCTGGTGGTGTCTAGATCCTAACAGATGATCTACCCACTGCTGCTACTGTTGTACCATTGCTTCATGTCCTGGACGCCTCCTCATGGCGACCGCTTGGTGGGAGTTGGGTTTCGCCCTTCTCCTTGCTAAAATCCAGGACGCGAATCCGCATGAGTCAGTGAACGGACCATGCGCTAGACCCGCTGCCTTTCGTGTGTAAATTTAATCGAAGGCTTTGGCTGAGGACCCGAGTCGTTCTCCTGTAAGGTGTGAGCTCCCTGCCAGTATCCTAGTCCATCCTCTTTGGAGGTTAGGAAGTGGTCGATGGCTCTCTTCCCGTAAAACCTAGCCATGGGAGACAACAGGTCTACGGGTTATAAGCTCACAGCTCGATTGGCGCAGAGCACCAGGCATTATCTCTGACAGTGGAAGCGCACCTCTGAGTGCTCAGTGGTTTGTTACTGCTCGCCTCAAGCCAGGCAGCCAATGGTCAAATTGGTGCAAATCCACCTGCGTCTGGCCATGGACGCAGGTGTATCCTACTAGGGTCGCAAAACATATATAAATCGTTCCAGTACCTCAAAGACCGCGTGTGACGGCCGTCAAGCAGATCCCAATCTGTCTCTGTAATCATATTCCCGAGCTGAATCTGCTTCCCACTGCCTTGTGGGTCAGGCTATTGAGCCAAAGGCTCCGGGCTGAGTCCCTCAAGACAACCTCCAAACCACCCACAGCCTTTTGGGTAAGGCTACTGACCCAAAGGCTCCGGATGAAGTCTCTTAAACAAACTTCCAAATCCGAAATAATTTGAAACACTGGTAGCCCGGCTTGGTTGCTCACCTGTTGATCGTTTTTCCGAGCTTGGTAAAGAGATCGCATACGTTTCACCACCATACGAGGTGGCATCTTCAGTGCGGTAATAGGCAATGGATAATGCTGCTTATTGAGTTGTCAGTCCGTCATCAACAGGCAGGTGAATTTTGAAAGTGGCAATTTCCATTTGCGCCACGTGATCTCTGACCATTGGCTTCCACGGCTGAACCACATTTTGCGATTCGCCGGAGATCTTTCTGAGTTGATGATACACGGGGTCGATACCAAATGCAAGTAAGAGGGTCGTTTTGCCGTATATGAAGAACATATCTGAAATGACTGCCAGATTGCTCAAACAATACAGCATCGTGGTCGCTCATAAGCCAACCGCTACTTTGAGAAGAATACTGTCAAACTGAAAGGACACTAGGAATGCACAAGAACGAACAAACGACGTGTATAAAATAAATTGCAATAATTGTGAAATGAACTATGTGGGGCAGACAGGAAGGAAATTGTCCACAAGAATACAAGAACATCAGAGGATTTGTAAAAAACATCATGCATCGTCTCTTGTCTCAGCGCATGTGGATGAGGAATATAGCTACATAGCTTCAATTAGAACAAAACGGTGATTATAGCTCAAACCACAACACAGAAAGGAAGAGAGTTCATAAAAGCATGGTACTCCTTTAATAATTCGACCAACATGCGCATCGACATCAACCCCGTGAACCATCAACTCAGAAAGAAATATCTCCAGCGAATCGCAAGACGTGGTTCCGCCGTGGAAGCAAATGGGCAGAGATCACGTGGCGCAAATCGAAATTACCACCTTCAAAAGTCAACTGTCCGTGGATGACAGACTGACAATTCAATAAGCAGCATTATACACTGCCTATTACAGCACTGAAGATGCTACCTCGCATGGTGGTGAAATGTATGCGATCTCTTTACCAAGCTCGGAAAAACGATCAACAGGTGAGCAAACTTTTAAATCACCCACTGCATTGTGGGTCAGGCTATTGAGCCAAAGGCTCCAGGAGGAGTCCCTCAAGCAAACCTCCGAAGCACAACGACCACCTCGCGTGCGATTGCCCGCCAATGCAATCGTATGCCTGCGCACAAAGCAGTCAGTATCGAGTGCTGGAACGTGCGCACATTACTGGACCGGAACTCCAGTGAGCGCCCCGAGCGATGCACTGTATTGGTCGCGATGGAGCTGGCGCGCTACCACATCGATATTGCAGCGCTTAGTGAAACTCGGCTCGCTGAGCAAGGTAGGTTGAACAAAGCAGGTGCTGGCTACACATTCTACTGGGTGGGCAACGCCGCCTCAGCACCACGAACATGGGGTCGGATTTGCAATATCTGATTGCCTCCATAGCCAGCTGGTGGGTGAACCAACAGGCATCAGCGCGCGACTGATGATTGTTCGCCTACGACTCGGAAGAGGTAAGTTTGCCACTTTTATAAGCACGTAGGTCGGACCATGTGTTAGGTTGATGACACACATGATCAATTCTATACTCAGCTATCCTCCATGATAGGGTCTGTGCCGAGGAGCGACCGACTATTTCTGCTGGGTGATTTCAACGCGCGCGTTGGGCCTGATGCATCGGCGTAGACAGATGTTACCGGTTCGCATGGCATTGGTTCAGCGAATGCGAACGGTGACAGGCTGCTCTCACTGTGTGCCACTCACGGCCTGACGATCACGAACACTCGGTTTGCACCGAGTGCGAGTGATATAGCAACTTGGACGCATCCACGGAGTGGACACGCTCAC